GCGGTTCTAACCTCGATTTCACACTCATGCACACACTCACACCTACAAACGCACGTACATCATCTATACTTTTTCTTACGATGATAATGACACAATGTCTCAAAGAGAAGGCTCCTTTGGCCACTACTTTTTTCCACTTTTTTATGCTCATCTTCCTACGTTTTCACTCAGACTGCGAGTAAGGAGTGCAGGTATAGAGAAAAAGGTCTGATCTCGCGTTTTTTTTTTTTATTGGTCGCGTATTCGAATTTCCAATCTTTGTTTCTTTCACTAGCGACGAGTCACAGCTTTTCATCTCATCGAGTTTTTCTTTGCGCGTTTGTGTATCCAAAAAAAAAAAAAAAAAAAAAAAAAAGAAGAAGATTGATCTCATCTAATATGTCATAATGTAGGACATGCAGTGCATTGATCACTTAGCAAGCAACAGCAAGAACAACAGAAAATGTTAAGGGAAGCCTGTGTTCCTTTCTTGTCTTCCAAATCTGTCCTATTGTTTGAAATATTGGTCACATGAATTTATTTTTAATGACCACTGTTGTCGCCTCTTTAATTTCCTTTGAAATGGTGTGAGGGAGGAGGAGGAAGAGTGAAATATCTTACAAATGCATTACACTATCAGAAGAGAGCTCTTCATGCATCCTATTCCTGGGAGAGTGAAAAAAAGAGCAATGTTACAAGCTACCCTCGTGGCCTTTATGTGTGTATTTATATATCAATAGGACTGTTCACTCTCATATCCTCGGAGCTGTCCTTGGACTGTAATTGTCTTGCTCTTGTCAAAATCTATCCGAAAGTAGTTTTGGCTTAATTGCATTTATTTTTCGGTGCTCTTTTGGCCCAATGAGCGATCCAATGTATTTCTGACAAAAAAAAAAAAAAAAAAAAAAAAAGTAATAGCACATGCCAATAATATATATTGGAATATCAAGTGAACGTTCAGTCAATCGTGAGGGCAGAAAGTTTTTATTTTGCACCCGTTGTCCCACTATTATCATCATTGCCATGACCACCATGGCTTTGGTGTCTCCTCTTTCCCCCCCTTTCTGTCTCAAACATTTTCAAATAAGATATGCGTTGTGGTCAATAGAATTACTCCAAGGGAATCTGTCCCTTGTTTCACTCTTTCTATCTTGATATCTACCCTCCATCGACTCCATGCTACCCATCCTGTCATGTCGTCTTTTTGGCATTATTTGATGCTCTCATCAAGAAAAAAAGTCTAACCTACTTCTCCTTTTTGCGCTCTAAACGTTTTATTTTAGGATTGACAGCATTGCTCTCCCAACTTACACCTCCCTCTCTTTCTCTCTCTTACTTCCTTCTTCTTTCATACCTCACACTAACACCCATTCACAGACACACCAATACATATCTTTGCCCCTACTCCTGCTCTTCCTTCAAGACTATCAAACACAACAGCTCGGCTCCAGAAATTCAAAAAAATCACATCAACCACCTTGCTTTTACATTTTTAAAAAAGAAAGAGTGATAGAGAGACTAGCTACACTGGCACAGTCGACTCTTTTTTTTTTTTTTTTTTTTTGCATCAAAGCTTTTTATTATAAATACAAAGCACTCTTCCAAAACCCATGACGCCCGTGTCATCATCACGATTAGATGGCCTAGCGGAGGTCACAGAGCTGGAGCAAATACCCTTGCCATACAAGGTCCTTTATCATACATTGATCCTTAAGAATGAAATGCCAATTGATCTTTTACAAGAGCGTCAACTCTCTGGGTCACAACAACTCTTGACATGGATTAAGGCTGCCATGTCTCTCCTTGAAACTGTTTCAGCATCTCATCAACCGCCTTCACAACAGCAAAAATCATCACAACCACAATCCCTGCAGCAATTATTTCAAAGAGACGAAAGAGGAGGATGAAGAACTCGAAGCTGAAATTCAGGATGTTGTCTCAGGGTTTGGACAATATGAATCTACCATAGAATCAAGTATTGAGATTTTGTTGCAGTTGGAGGAGGCGATTTCTGAACGGTCATCAACACCATTACCGAAGGATGATGATGGTTCACAGGCTCATCTCAGTCCAGAGATCGAAACAGTTTTGAGTGAATGGTCTCGGTTTCGTGGGATCGTCAATGACCTCAGTGGATCTATTCGAGAGCATCAACGACTTCGTGATGGGATCCAAAGCGTCCGTAACATGACTGAACAGACTCAGATGGCGACAGGGATCCTTGAAAAGTGCCTGAGGGACATTGCAGCAGACAGGCAACGGACCGCCGAATTGGCTCTGCAAGATATTAATTCATGGAATGAAAGCTCCACCAGTTTGAACAGTCAAGACAGTGCTAGCTCATTACGAGCACGAGCCACGACGTCCGGCGTCGATAGCAATGACATGCTGGAGCTAGACTCGAGAATGGGATTATTAGCGCTTCAGATCGATACCCTCCAGAAATCCTACCCAGAATGTACACGATCTAGCAAGCTCTTCAAGAGCAGAGCTGGCAGGAACCTGAAGCAGCAAGAGGGGGGTTCAATTGCGGAAAAGAAATATGTAATGCATAAACTCTACAGAGATTGCTCAAGGACTGGCATGCTTTTCGGACACGTAAAGACCAGCTCTGGCGGGATCTCGAAGAATGTGATCGATGGAGGACACGGATTGAGAAAATGGCTAAGCAAATTGAGAGTATGTTGGAGCCTGTCGAGATTTTCCACAAGATGTGTGTCAACATCCTTACTACCTTGGATGCTCAAGCAACAGCAGAAGACGAAAGGATGATACCATGTTACGGAAGTCTTTGACCGTTGATATGCTCGATATCGCAGAAGCGCATGTTGAGCTGTCTGCATCATCTGCATCATCTGCATCATCTGCACCAACCCATAACAAATCTTTCATGGATCCCGAAGAACCAGTGGACATGGAAATGCTTTCATCCGTTCTCCAAGAACTGGACGAAAAGCAGAACATGACAGCACCAGCTATTGAAAATATGTTTTGGGTTCAAGAAGGCGAGATCCAGCACCGATCAAAAGCTGCAACCGTACCATCTACTACACCAACGCCAACTTCTGAAACTCCTGTGGATGCTCCACAGCTCTCTCCTGCTTCAAACTCAACCGCCTCGTCACCCACACCTCCAACTATGGACCATTCCCCATTATACCCTAGTCTGGCTATGCTGGAGCGTCAGAGAAATTTAAAAGAACCGATGGTCCAATCTCAAGACATCGCTTGACACCATCGGCACTAAGCTCCATGCCCATCATATTCGATTGAAAGAAAAAGCCAACGTGGCTCTGATCAAGAAGGAAGAAGCTGCAGAGGACAAGACCCTTGTTGGTAGTGGCAATAGCGACTGGGGCTCTGCCCTCGGCTGCGACGATCCAACACAGTGAGTACTCAACAAACTCTTCCCACCAGACCTATTTCACCCAATTGGAAACCAAGCCACCATCGGTTCTTGCGTGGCAAATTAGTGACATCCATGTCGATGGATTCTTCCGCGGTCCGAAAGTACATGCTAGTCAAGTCTGATAAGCCTGTCTGGGACAAGCCCCGACCATGGTGCCCCTCTGCCAATCCACAGTCACCTGGCATGCCTGGATTCCCATTGCAGACGTCTTCCTGGGGTTACTATATTGTTACTACCTCCAAGAGTGAAGAGAATTTCGGCGCACTTATAGCAACACCAGCTCCACCACCTGTTCGTGCCCCTACTCCAAAGCCCCCACCTCCTCCCAAGTTTAATCGACCTCCATTCTCTCCAGGCGGTAACCGTCGGTACACAGCTTTCAATAAGCCTCCTCCACCTCCTCCATCACGTTCACTGTCTGTGACAGGTGATTATAAGAATAACCCTTACTTGACAGCATCAGGAGATACGATCGACTGGGCCAAGACGCTTCGACGCTCAACCTCGGTCACAAATATCAAGCCCATCAACCCACGTGGCCGTAATACACCAGCAAGCAGACAGAAGAGAGCAGTATCTGCTGCAGCAGGAACTATTCAAGGCCAGGGTATTGGCTCAAATTCCAACAAAAATAGGAGTAGTCTGCAGCTCTCGAGCGGTGCATGGGATTCAAAACATAACAATGGCACTAATAACAATGGCAGCCGCAGACACTCACTATCTTCCTTGTCAGAGGAAGGCACAATTATGGGACATAGCATCAGTGCTAACGGCCACAAGAAGGGTGGAAACGGAGAACACCGTGGAAGTAATAGCAACAATCCACTTATGATGCAGAATAACGACTCAACCTCGAGTGTCGACTCAACAGATAGTTCGTCATCAACATCGTCATTGGCGTCCATCTATTCTGCGCTTTACGACGGAGGTCGCACGAGTAGCAACAATGGTAATAATAACAATAACTATGGTTCCTCGTTATCATCATCGATTGGAGGACGATCACCTTCACCGTATGAGCCCATGTTCGGGTCGTCTTACAGCGGCTCGATCATCTGCTGCGCTTCATTCTGCATTGATGGCAAGCATGTCGTCATCGTCATCGGCATCTCTGAGATATTGTTCAAGTTCACTCAGTAACCACAGTGGTAACAACAGCAGCAACAGCAACAACGATGACGATTTCTCGTCTTCGAAATTCCAACAACACCTGCAAAAGCAACAACAAGAGTACCGTCAGCGGCAACGACAACGACAACATAAAGAACAGATGAAGAAATTGGGAACGACATCTGCATCATCATGGATGAGCATGAACATGAACTTGAATACAGGTAGCATCCTGTCAGCTCTGTCATTTACCGTTCCAACATATAATTTTGAAGATGAATTTGGACCTTTGGGTCAGAGGAAGGATTCAATCACTGCTATGTAACAACAACCAAGCAACAAACACATTGCCGCCAAAAAAAAAAAAAAAAAAAAAAAAAAAAAAAAACAACGAAACATTCATCATCCCATTTCCTATTTTTGTATACCAGTTTGTCTTCGTTCGTATGTTTTATTCCCAACCTGTATACTTATAGCTTTTCTTGAAACAATACAAAAAAGAAGAGAGAAAGAAAACGATACCCTCTATACATGTTATTAAAAAAAAAAAAAAAAAAAAAAAAAAAAAAAAGATCCGCATAAAGCTTGCATTGCAAATAAAGCCATCGACATGTCAAAATTATAAATAAGACACTACAATGTGGCCTTTGCATTGATATAAAGAGAACTTGTTGTCCTTGATTTGTAGTCATCAATCTTCTCTCCATCATAAAGTGATGTTGCTCAGAGAAAATCATTAAGAAATAACCGCGATCGCACTTTTCATGTCTGGTTGAACGATAAATGCCATTCTTGAAATAAATTTCTTGAACTGGCCACACCATGAATGTTTGCGTAGCTCAATGATATCCAAATTCATAGCATCCTTCAGTCAAATGGACATTCACTATAGTCAGGACTTAGTGGTGTAAATATTCTCACAGACAGAGGCTTTGACGGAAAGAGGCGCCATTGGGTGCCGATTACCGCCATAAAGATAGAGATTAAACGAAGACTATCAAGTTCAAGTATGCTTTGACATTTTCATTTTGCATGAAGTTTCATCTGTTTCCCTTTTTTATTCTTATTTTGCGAATAAGCGGCTGATGATGGCTTCGCTTCCTGCTCGCTTTCTTGTCACTGACCATTTGCAATTCTCTTCGCCCTTTTTTTTTATTCCCTTCCTCTTCTTTCCATCCTTTCACCATATTTTCGTATATCTCTCTCGGTTCAAGTACTCATAGTATGTTTAGCTTTACTCACTTTGCTAAATGGTTTTTTCTTCCATAACAGATGACACAAGCCTAACGAGTGATTCGAATAAACCATATCAATTTGGGGAAAACAGGCTTTTTTTTTAAAAAAAAAAAAAAAAAAAAAAAAAAAAAAAAAAAAAGGGATGGCTAGAAAGCCAACCAAGACAAAGGGTACTCCCGCCACAAAAGGCCCTTGACCTCGCCAGTATTTACTTGAAGCAAGCATGAAAGGCAAAGGACCCTGTGCTTGCTTTGGAGATGTGTTTCGATGCAGAGGTTGTTCTCTCACGGGTACAACAACCCGACCAAAGGGCGTCGGGCCCTGCTTCAACAGACGCAGACGAAGCATTATGCAAGAAAATTGCTGCCGCTCTGAATGACGTTGGCGAGTTATTCGACAGCCTCGGCCACCCTGACCATGCTCAAAGGAGTTGTGAACGCGCAATTAAATGGAGCAATTCAGCCTCAAGCATTTCCCATGCACGCAGTATCTCCGAAACAAAAATGATGATCACGCTAGTAAAAGCTTTGCTTACGATAGCACCAAACAAGAAGGCAACGTATTCTACAAGACTATTAAAACTTCAAGGGCCTCTACAAGCCGTAGCAGCGTAACTCTCCCTTTAGGAATATTTGAACGCGGTGTAGCCCGGGTGGCCGTTAAATACAACTTACCTTATCCAGGCGCTTATCTGGACAGTAACCGTCACCTCGTATATTGTCTTGGCTTGCTTTCCTCTGTGCCTATCCCAATAACAGGCCTCACAGTCCAAGAGCAGGAATGGTCGTTAGCCACGTCGAGCAATCTGGATGAACATGAGCGCCTTCGTGACCTGGTATCAGATATGATCGCGGTGTTCATTAGCGATGGAGCCAAGACAGAGGCTACCATCACTGAGGCCTTAACTTTGGCTCCGACTCTCAATCTTGGTCAGTTCAGGACACTTCTTTTGATTCTTATTAGTGGGATCGGACAAGACACCATACTGGATACTCACTTGTTGGAAGGATTGGCTCAGTTAATTCAGCATGCCCCGCCTGGATACCTTGACTCGGATGATCTAACCAGAATCCTCGCACTTAGCCCACACCTACATGACGCCCACGAATACTCTGACGATCACCTCTACCGCCTTGCTGTCGCAGTCTCACATGTCCTTGATACTATGGTCAATAACCAAGTCAAGGGTCTGAAGCGAGAGAAGACCTATATGCCGCTAACAGCCTACCTGAAAAGGCTGCAAGACAGCTCAGATCCATATCTTGTGTACTGCTGTATATATATGATGACGAAACACCGACGCAGGCAATGCTAAGACGTACACTCCCTGTGGCTCGAGGAGTACATGGAACAACAAGCGCAGTCAGCAGCTTGAATATGGACGTCTTCATCGATGAGCTGAACAATATTCAGAAAGAGCTTCTATATTATATATACCATTGATATGAGCCTGCGAGGATATGGAGGCACAGCCTCGCTACATGAGACTGGAGCTACATTCAAGCAGTGTGTGAAAAGGTTCTCAGCTTTAGTCGCAAGACAGCATGGTACCCAGTGCTTCGAGGACTGACATACTTCTCCAGAGAGGAGAGCTCGCCAAGTTTAAGATTCTTGCGTGCAAAGTATCTTGTCGACTGGATCTAGCATTTCAATGGGGACTATGCCAGCGGCTAGGGCATATTGCATCTGATCCTCAATGGGCCATGGACACCGCCGAGATGCTGTTGCTTTTCTTGGAGAGATATACAAAAATGATAGGGATTACTTCCAAATCAAGCAATGGATCCTTCACGTCCTCAGGAAACTAGCCTCATCGCCGGTGGGTAGTCCACGGGGTATGTTTTTTTTTCTACACGAATCCACTTGCATGTCCGTACATTTTGCGTAAAATGATTAACCTCATTACTTTAAAATCCTTTTCATTTTTTTCTTCGCAGCTGCAAACGCTTTGTTGAATACTCTAAAGAGGGAGGGAGGCGCCAAAAAGCAAGAGTTATATAAAAGTTGTCTCCAAGAACCTAATATTCAGTATCCCTTCACTGCTTCGCTACCTCCATCTGTACCTTCTTCGTTGCTTGGCCGTGTGCAGGAGAAGCTTGATACCGAGAAACGCGTAGGCCATCTTAAACAGCAGCGGATAAATAACTTAGATGGCCAAAGCTTCTATATCCCACAATATGCCAAAGCAAATGCTCAAGCGCGCCATGACGATTTGTTCCTGTTGATGGGCAAGTCAAAGGAGTTCCTGGACGGGGATCAGAAAGTGCTGCTTGTCCAAGGCATTGCAGGAGCAGGCAAGTCAACCTTCAACCGCACTCTGGAGAGTACTCTGTGGAAAGCATACCAAAAGAGACATGGTCGAATCCCGTTATTCATCGACCTACCAGCTATTGAAATCCCAGAGGAGGATTTTGTTGCAAAGCAGCTGCAAAAGTATGGTTTCACAGAGGCACAGATCATGGAACTGAAGCTGACCCGCTCATTTGTCTTGATCTGTGATGGATATGACGAGAGTAAACTAACTAGCAACCTGTATGTTAGCAACCAGCTAAACCAGACTGGGGGGTGGGTAGCTCAGTTGGTGATTAGTTGCCGCAGTGAGTATCTTAGACCAGGTTATCTTGACTTCTTCTGTCCTATGGACCATAATTACCAAGCGAACGCTACATTATTTCAGGAGGCTGTGATCGCTCCATTTTCGAAGGGCCAGGTCAACGAATATATCAACCGATATATCGCTAACATGGATCCGGTTTGGCAACCGGAGGACTACCAGCATGCAATCAAAGCGGCCTCCAGTTTACTGGACATTGTGAAGAATCCATTCTTGCTGTCACTCTCGCTGGAAATACTGCCAGAGATGGTTGCCTCGTAAAATAAAATATCTCCAAAACAGAAATCAAGCGCGTCTCGCTGTATGACCAGCATATGAAATTGTGGATAAAGAGGCGTGAGAAACAACTAAGTGAGACAAAGGACTGGAGGATAGGCGGATATTCCAGAAACTATCGGAGGAGGGCTTTGCACAGAATGAGATCAGATACTTGACAGAATTGGCTATAGCAATCTATAAACATCAAAACGGCAACCCTGTAGTAGACTACACTCCAATCAAAGATAAGAGTACATGGAAAGAGCGATTCTTTAGTAGAGAGAATGGGAAAAGCCTTTTGCGAGAAGTCTCTCCGCTCGTTTGTACAGGCAGCCAGTATCACTTTGTACATCATTCTATTCTGGAGTACAGTTTGACCGAGCGATCTATGAGCCACTGGGAGTGGTAAATGCTTTCACAAACGATGAGGAAGCAGCAGCGGCATCAACTTCCATCGGTGGAGCATCGGCCCAATGTGTACTTTTGGTACCATGGAGCTAACGACGCACCAGCAAGTTGTTGATGCAGCCAGGCCAAGTGAGGACTCTCCCCTAGCATGGAAAAGCTTTATAAACGAGCCATCTATCCTACAGTTCCTGGAGGAGCGTGCCCGCCTTGAGCCTGTATTTAAGAAGCAGCTGCATACCTATATTGAGCTCTCGAAGAGTGATAGAAAGTGGCGGACAGCACAACTAATGCAATAACGATTTTAATCCTAGCAGGGGAATCGTTCATCAAAGCAGACTTGCGAGGCGTTCAAATTCCAGGCGCTGATCTCAGCTATGGGGTATTCGAATATGCCCAACTACAAGGAGCAGATTTGAGAAAGGTCAAACTTCGCAAGCTGTTGGCTTCGTGAAACTGACCTGAGTGGTGCAAAGATGACAGGTGCACAGTTTGGATAGCGGCCGTCTCTTAGAGGAAGTGGTCGGGCATGGAGTGGAACATACTCGCCTAATGGCAAGACATTGGCTGCTGCTTTCATCAGCAGTTATCGCAGTGGCGCCTCGATCGTTGTCTATAACACATCAACATGGGAGGTACATTCGACTTACAATGGGGATGGATGCACCGCCAGATTTACGTATTCGCCAGGCAGCCAACACATCGCTATCGTGCTTTTCACATGTACTGTTCTTGTGTGGGATATAAGGAGAGACGTTGTGGTTCACACTTTGGTGGGCCATACAAGTACCATCGTTCCTGTTTTTTACTCACCAAATGGACATCATCTTGCCTCAGCCAGCC